GATGAAGCCGGCCGGGAAAAGCGGCGTCGTTAATTCCGTTAAACGTAGTGAGAACAGTAATTTTGTTCCTTCATCGACCATCGACATGAATCAATGGGTGAAGAAGCATCGCACGAAAGATCGACCGAGCGAGCACATCTTCAGCCCCGCAAGTTCACGTTCGCAAACAGGTTCACAACCGGGACGCGCCGATGGTTTGTTGATAGCGCCGATTCACTGAAAGTCAGTTATGCTCGAGCATTGCATAATAGCTCGACAGTCTGCTCGGCACCTTTCGCCTGCGATCGTTGGAAACCCGCAGAAAAAAATGACAGACTGCCATACAATGACGATTTTTCTTGAATTTTATTCATTTTTCCCGCATTCGTGCGTCCATTCTCCGATGGAACTTTCCCGCTGACCTTCCTGACATGAGCGATCGTCCCGAATCCCTTGATTCCGACCGTTCATCCCTCAACGCGATACCCTCCGTCGAGGAGAAAGACAAAAAGCCCGAGCGTGGATACGGAAGTTGTCCATCGCATATTCAGGTCCGTAACGCACAAAACTGATATTGTCGTATGTTCGGACGGCGCAACACTCATGTTGTCGTGATGCGTACCGGAAGACTCGAAGGCCGGCGTCGGACATCGACGCGCGTCCCATCGCACGTCGCCGGAGAACCGACTCACTCAGCGGATAGTCGCTGATGTGAATCAAGCCAGAAAGTTGCGGCGGCGAGCGAATGTCAACTAAATGGGAATCCTCATTGTATTTCCACAACAAGTTCCGTGTCAGAATCTGATGTCGCAGTCGTAGCCACCGAGTGGGAACGGGTTCCGATCTGCGCGTTGATGGAATCTCCCCATCGCTGAAAGAGGGATCGATATGCTTTCGTCCGCGATTCCCCGCTTGGACGGATGATCGGCGCAGGCGTGATCAGGTCGATCAAGTCTGAGGATTCCCTGAGAACTGCCCGCCTCGCGAAACTGCCGAATCAAGAGCAAGCTAGTTTGCAGACGATAGTTGTTTCCGGTGCGCCGGGATGGTGTAAGAGATCCCGCCGCCATTCCATTCCGGAATTGCTCTCGTAGGTTCTTCCTCTATGAAATCGTGGAAACGCGGTCGCATCTGCTCCCATTGAAACAGCTATCGAATCTCAGTCAGCATTTTGATATGATTATCGATGCCAATAAGGAAATAGATTTCGCGGTGACCGTTCGTGAGAATCCGGGTCCGTGGTCTTTCATGGCTCTCGAGATTCCATCTCGCTCGTCAAACCGCAATTAAATTGGAACGGGGGTTCCCAAAACCGATGTTCATCACGTTCTTAGTACCGCATTTCATGCGCATCTTGAGTGGTAAAATTCTCGACGCTCGTCGCACGAGGCACGATTCCGAAAAAAATTGAAATCGACGTCTGTCTGGAAGGGAAGAAGGGATTGTTCGTCCGCATCAGAAACTCGCGCATCAAGCTATATAATCACGAATGACAGCCTGTTTTCGGAATCCACAATACGCGAAACGGCGGAGAGTTCAGAAGAGCTTCCGCGAACCCGCTCGTTCTCAGACTTTGTCGGAGAAAGTACGGAAACGAAGAAAAGCGGTCTAGAAACAGTGAAAGCTCGCTTTCCAATCGATTTTGAGAGAAGCGATGATCGTCAATCGTCAATGCGTGGCCTCCCTCCGATCGGTGCGGGGCATCAGGATCAGTATGACTGACAAGCCAAACACACGAAAAATTATTATACTAGCCGTATGGCACCCGACTAATTTCTGTCCTGATCACCCTCGCGCGAGATTATGCAAAAGAGTATTCTGATTGGTCATTTGTCGGTGCGAGGGCTCTAGCGAAGGCGCGTTGTCGACGAGAAAAAACACACCGGGGTGGAGCGGCTCCAGCCGCAGATGATCTTTTTCGAGGCATTGGTGCGTATCGGCGGCCTTTATAATAGCACAATACCCACAATAGGTCGCCAAGATAATCGTCAAGATTCCCATGCTGTAGTGAGGTCAAATTTAGCGACACTGACTACATGGCCTTAGTAAGCACTTCGGCTCCAAGTCGGCGTTTCGTTCCCACTTAATAACTCCGCCTCTGGACGGATCTTGCTCGCTCGCTCAAACAGTGGTTCACTCGTTCTCATTCACTCCGTCCATTGTTTTCCTGTCGGCTCATTCAACACGTCTCGGTACTTTGACCAGCGTTCGAGTTTTTAACCGACGCTCGTGCATCAAATATTCGACGAGCGAATTCCAATAGAACCTTTCCTGGAACACCGACACGGAAAGGTCCGGATCGCCAGTGGAACCATCGGGGAAATTTGATAAGCCCGAAAAAAAAAGTCCGGGCTCCCCTTCACCGTTTCTGCTAGAGATAGCGCGTGGACAAAATATGTTTATGTTCTTCGGAGAATCGGGTAACATTCATCGGGGACAGCCGATTGAACTCATGCCGTTATCAAGCCTGTACAGTAGCACAACCGTATCATCGCTGATGAACGAAAGCGGAAGCCGCCGAGGTAAGAATTTGGGCTGCTCCTCTCATTCTGGCTTTGCCCGGATTGCTTCGGCGCCTCCTCCTTATTTTTGTCCACCTATTGCCGGACCATCGTTTCCGATAACGATAAGCACGTCAACAAGATTGTCGGAATCGCGAAAGGATGAAGCTTGCGTCGGGAGACTTTGTTCCTTGTGTCGCAAGCAAGACAACGTCTCTCTCTACGCAATTGCTTCCCCATCAAGACGAGCATTGTCCGAGTCGTCCTAAGGGTATGAGAAGTTCACCCATCAAGTTCCGTTGGCAGCTACTTTCTTCATCATCCACTGGGACTCTTACAGAGCTCGGAGGCCTGTTGTTTTCCGAGACGGATCGACTGAAAGATCATTCGAGAACGTCAAGACTCTTCTTTGTACATCCTCAGTATACAATGTGTGGCGCTTATGCGACACCATGCCGCAGCAGAGTTTCGGCACGAAACTTAAGTGGAAGTATTCCACGATACCTGTATCAATGGCTGACAGCGGAATACCCTGAGAGCGGTCGACAAAGAGTCGTCAATTGCTCACATGCTCGACTGATTCTTATCCTGGAAATGAGAACGAAGCCTTCCGAAGCTCAGATGGGCGATGCTCACGGTGACTTGCCCCGCCGCTAGTCGGCCATCCGCGCTCTGTCAGAAAGCAGTAATGCTCTTCGTGGGATAGTGGAATATAAAGATACACATAAGCGGATCCGACTGAGAAAAACGAAATGTGGGCGCTACTCAAATAGAAAAGCTCGCAGAAGAAATGAACAAGACATCGGGCACATCTCAATTGATACACGAGGGTCAGTCCGCGAGCGGAACGGATCTCCCTCATCCATTCCTTTCCCTGCTGCTGATTCTCGACCAAAGTTCCCGCATAACCGCAAACAATCAGGAGCAGGGTAGAACGAATCTCATGGAAAGTTCACTTTCGTCTGAGCGTGACGCTCCGATGTTTCATTTGAAATGAGCCTCCCTGTGTTTCTTTCCTGGATCGAACGAGGAAGATCAAGAGCCCGGTCAGGCAGGAAGCGCTCCACTTTTTTCTCCCAAAAAAGCTGATCGAATCCCAAATGGCGAATTCCGTTCGCTTGACAGCTCGGTGAGAATTATCGGATCAATGATAGAATCGCTCCATCGGAGTTTACTCCGAAGGAGTGAACAACTGAGCCTTGGATATCACCGTGTCACCGGTCACCGCGGATTACCTCAGCTCGGGGCGGAAAGCCTCCCACTTCGGCTTAAACCTAATGCTGATTCCCGCTTGTAAGATGGGCTCAGCGTATATTTTTTGGCTCCTCTCTCTTCTCACTCATCCGATAATCACAGCTTTCACGGCGCTGGACGTGATCAACGAAAGTGCGGAACACGTTTACAACGCCACAACTGAGCAGGAATTATTAAAATGATCAACGACGGCGACCGGCGGAGTCGTCAGCTTGAAACTTTTCCGGTTGCAGCTGGCTGGCCTGCAGGCTCTCCCTGCGGACTTTGCGCAGTAGCTCCTCTTCGGATAGTATCGCCGCCGCAGCATGAACCATACTTCCCTTCTGAGAGCTACCTGGCGGCGACAAATGCAGTCATTGACTCCAGCGGACAAAAAGTCGGAAAAATAAGTAATCACCACCGCGAACAAGCGAGAACTTCTAGACCTCATTGAATGAGAGCGCCAGAGAAATGTGCTGCTGCTAGAGCAAGATATTTCCCAAAAGAAAGTGAAAAAGTAAAAATGGAACACCATGCGGAGGGCAGAAAGGGAGAAGAAAACGCGAAGTTAATCTGAGCCTCCAGCGACGAGCCTGCGACCTCTTCGTTGATGGCATGCGAGACTATGGGAGTAAACACTTCCCGTGAGACTTTCTCTTGTTTCACGGATATTTCTAATTGAGGAGAAAAAGCTGCTCATTTCCCAGCACAAGCGGCAGCACAAACCACCGCTCGGATCTTCGCCGAGAAGATCATTGTGTCTAGGTGAAAGGAAGCTCCCGTCCCGCGTCTCCTGTTTTCGGCGCCTCGCGTGTAGCTCGCAGTGACTCCAACGACGTAGTCCGAATAGCATCTAGGAACGAGCAAGGGAAGCTACCGCGAAATCAATTAGCGCGGGCTTCATTCCTGCGCTAATGAGCTTCCCACGAGAGCTGTATGGGAGAGTCGAGCTTTGCGAAAACGGAACAATCCATTCCCCCTCCGGATCATCGAACAATTATGTCTCTCAGAGTGGATACATCTGAGACCCTCGATACTCCTTTTTTGAACCCATGCATTCCATGTCAGAAAAGAATTTTCTCTCCTAGGCCTCAGAGAGGAAGTCCCTGACACGCGGGACGTCAGGGAAGTCAGATTCGTTCGAGGCCATTATTCTCGATGAAAATCAGAGGTCAAGACGAAGGAGGAGGAGCCCAAGTTGAAATGCCCGCGCAAAAGTCCGACGAGCCATGTCGTCTGCTAATGATGATGATGACGATGGTCCACAGCGGCGGCCATCTTGTGTGTTTACAAAAGCAAAGAGAAGGTCCACTACTACTCTTTAACAACTGCTGGAATTGCGGCACCTGCTAGAACATCAGCGTCTTGCTCCGCGCTTGCTCCGCGCTTGCTCTGACGTTGTACACCTGGAGAGAGCCAGAGATCTCAGCGAAACCGGACGCCTTGCATCGAAAGCTCGGAAAAACGCGAACTCTTGCAGCAGTGATGGAAGACGAGCAGTGCGATCATCGACTCTAGTGCAAACATCGGGTTGCAATGGCGACCCCTGAACAACCAGGATGCGTGGGGGTTCTGTGAAGAAAAGACATCGCTGCCGTTGTGGTGGCCTTCCTGTCAGGCCTTCGACTCTGCTGCTGCAGCAGTCGCCGACGTTGGTACGGTCACCATCGTTACCAGCGCCTGGAGTATCTTCGGGTTCGATCGGAGGAGTCCGGAGAACAAACTCCAGAAGTGCCTTCGCGCTCTCGGGCGGCCTTGAAGCTCGATGGAGCGCTTGCCAGACTATATCCGAGAGACGGTTGTGTGGCTCACCGGCCGGGGCAAACGCAAAGAGCCTACGGAGGAGCAGCCGAAAATTTACCTGGAGAATCAAGTTCTCGAGCGCACCGTTAACGAAGATGCTCTCAAAGAACTTGTAGCCTTGCCGGAAGGCCTGGATTACCACGAATGGTTGGCATTCCACACGCTCGCCTTCTTCGAGCATGTGAATATGATCTATGGAACCGTCGCAGAATTCTGCACCGTATCGGGGTGTCCAGATATGTTGGGACCCGGCAACCGTCAGTACCTGTGGTTCGACGACCGCGGAAAGAAATGCCGCCTAGCTGCGCCACAATATGTCGATTATGCGATGACGTTCACGCAGAACACGGTGACGAACGAGAATTTTTTTCCCACCAAGTTCGAAGGTGAATTCCCGGCGTCTTTCGAGTCTATCATCAAGAAAATACATCGACTCCTGCTCGCTGTTCTAGCGCACCTGTATCACGGCCACTTCAGAGAAATTCTACTGTTGGAACTGCATTCTCATTTGAATACACTCTTCTCACATTTCACACTGTTCAACGCCCAGTTCGGTCTCAACGACGACGACGTGCTCCAAGATCTCGCAGTTGCTCTCAAACTGCTGCCGAAAACAGGAGGTGTCTTGGAACCCGACGAGCGGGGCTCGACCCCGACGGCGAGTGCTCCGCAGGAGGACATTGAATCTTCGACAGGCTCTGATCTGTGACCGCTGAACAGAACGCATCAAGAAATTGCAGACAGACAACAGAGCGTCAAGCGAACCTACCATTGAACAAGCGAACGAAGGAGCAATTAGCTTTAGACAATTCAGTCGTTCCTCTAGTCATTCCCAGGAATGAATCCGATTCCCGTTGCCAGGAGAGACAGACTGATTCGATTTCAACCGCAATATAGCCTAAAATGAAAGGTGAATGTTGCAACGGCCATGTACTTAGATGACTAAAAGTAGAGAAGCCGCCGCCCCCGCAACCGCCAAGAATCGTACGGAGCCGGTGGTCGCACTGTGAACATCAACTCCGAATCGCGAATACTACGGCACGGATTAGAACGACAGGTCGATGATCTCTGGTACTGGCATCCAGAGACAACCTTTACAAAATAGTTGATGATGCTCCCTAAAGGAATCGAAGCCGAGGAACAGAGAGACCATTGCGTCTCGGTGGGTTACTGAATGGAGGTTGTTATTAGATGTTGAAACGTATTCAGCTTTTATCATTATTGCGACCATTGGTCAGCGGTCTTATTACTACGATTAATACTACTATCGTTATCACTGCGATGATGATGATAATGGATACGGATGGTAAGTGTGTATTATCGACTGATAGGTCGGAGCAGTTATCGAAAGTGCCGTTGACTCGTAGAGCCACCGCACTGAGGGTAACCGTAGCTCCGAGAAACCCAGAAGTGGATGGTGTACGGTTTCCCTTCTGTTGATGGGAGAAGGAAGTTGTTGTTAGATTTCTTGGATATTAAACTGAGTTTTAATGAGAATTGTGTTTTCGAACCTCGACAGCCTCGAGCTGCTGTAGACCGAAAAAGACCGAAGGAAGTCCCCAGGTACTTGGCTCTATTCATGTGCCGACTGATGAATGAGCGGCATCCGTATCGCGAATCGCGGAGCGCAGAGATATGCTGTTTATAATCGGGCGAGGCGATTCTCTCTGGAAACGGGGTGTTTGACCGAGGAGCTTGGGATTCTCTGGATTGTTCAGTTGGAAGCGAGCTTCTTCGGTTGACCGTGACGTTTTTCTGCTATTTTTTCTTTTCCGTTTTACGCCGCTGACGCTCATTGTGTAGTCGACGAAGCCTAGAGGGAGAAAGGTGTCAGAATCTTGACGAAAGCCGTGTGCTTCCATGACGAACGAGGCTTGCGGTTGCTTCGGTATCCAAATTTGTCGAGCCTCATTCCTACCCGCGGAGGTATCGCTCTTCTGAAAGCGAGAGACTCGTTTGTCGAACCAAGCGGAACAGTATTGTGGAATTTTTCTCATCTTCTTCGTTGGGGTACCTCAAGCTCAGCGGTAAGGAAGGATCCGACTGGGAGGATTTTTCACTCGACTTCCCCATTTTGCGCATAGTCCCGAGTCCTCCGCCGAATGTCTTGCCGGTCACCATTTGATCTTTCGACTATCCATAATGACACGCATATAAATCGTATCCTAATTCGGGCTCGACAGGCTAGGGTCAGCTTCGCTTGTTTTCTTCGGAGACTTCGAGAGAGACCAGAGCCCGATTCGACTCGGAGTCGAAGTCGGGAAGCTTGAACCAGTTTCCAAAAACTGCTCTGCTCTAAGCGGCGAGGGGACGATCCGCTGGAACTTACGGCAACAACGGCGACATTGTGCACTCAATTCCGAAAACGATTCTCGAACCTCTGCTGGCCGTAATGATCGATCGGACGACGTTAAACAGAACAGAGAGGTGTGCCTTCTCGGTCGAGCGTCGTCACCCCGCGTTCGGAATTCAAAAAGCGTCTTCTCTTAATGCGATTGCACCGTCCGACCGTCTGACCGCTGCGCTCATTCGTTCGTCCGCTCGTCCGCTCGCTGAACCGGCCGGTCGAGCGTCAGCCGATCCGTTTCTTCGTTCTTCGCTTGCTTGTCGAAAATAAAAGCTCCATGACCGTTCCCGTTGTTGCTCTGGCAGTCGTGGCTGCTGGGTCATCCGCTTAATCGTTTGTCCGACGGATGATGAGCACACTCCCACGATACGACACTCCTCCGACGGGCCCGGCCATTCGCCTGGCGTTCAGTTTCATGTCGCGCTAAGCGTGCGCTCCGACCCATTCTCGATCGACGGCGAAAATGATTGAAGAATGCAATCTCGTATCGTTATTTCTGTATCTATCAACTCGATATCAGCATCCGGAAATGAGCTCCTCGCTCAGCCGGGTCCTTCGATAATTCAGGTTTCCCGGCCTGATGGATCTGGTTCCTAAAAATTCGTTCGAACTCCTCAATGTGTCGATCCTTGAAGCTAATTGGCTCACAAAAAATTAGATCCTCCGGAAACTGTCGACTTTCGAATGTGTCTTCCATCACCGAAAGCCGGTGTGGGCTCCCGACTCCGATACAACGCAGCGATGTCCCGAAATTTTCGATCACGTCCCCATTGGTTATTGCTGAAGTCGACGGTCAGCTATTGAAGCGCTTCGATGCTTGTGAGCCCCATCCGATCAGATACTCGGAAGGAAGCGGGAAGAATCGAAAGAAACGACGGATGGGGGTTTGGAACCTAAAACGATGTGAGCGATTGCTATGAACTTGCACAAATTCACCTATTGTTCATCCGCGATCCTATGAATACACCGTGCGGACAACGGAGACGTTACCGCAGAAACAATCGCTGGTGGCGGAGTCGAGGGAACGTAAGGGAACGAGAAGTCGAATGATCTCCAGGCGCAAGACGTATGCGAGAATCGTTTAGGAAACGATTTCCTCATTCGATTACAATGAGCTTACAAGATTGCAAAAAAAAGAGGGTCGAGTTGTGAAATTGAAATAAATCCATAAATCACTTCCGATGAGCATAGCGAGTGGCTTACTACGCGAGTAACAAACGACCGATGTGCTTCGGTCATGAAAGCCGACGTGAGAAGAATTTCCGCGTTGAACATTTCTCCTTGCTTCACAATTTCGGATGAGAATGACCAGCATTCCGGGAGGACAGAACGGAATGCAAGTGACTCCAATTGAATGCTTCGTTTCAGATGTCGCTGCGTTGAGGAAGAAGATTTCTCACGGATAAGCGTAGTTCGAGGGAATGGGCAATTCGAACTCACAACAGCTTCAGCTAGATCCGGAAAAATATTTTCTGCACAGAGACCGAACATGGAGCCATCATCAGGGGCATCTGATAGTGCCGCTGACGGACGCTGTCATTCAGCGGAAAATGCTCCGGAATACTGAAAACGGTGTCATCCTGCAGAATGAAGGCACAATCAGTCAGCGAAGGAGGTAAAGTCAAAAGAGGAGCTTGTACCGAGGATTTTGAAATGGGGCATTCAATTATTATACAGAGCGTTCTCCTATCCGTTCGCTCTTCTCGATCTGCGGTAGATATCAATCATCCCGAATCGCATTCCAGGTCCATGCGGCATCCGGACGAGGGAATGTTCGCGTTGAGTCCGAGTCGACGAACGCTCTCAGATTCAGACCTTTCCAGAACGCCATTCGACCACGTCATGGTACCGAACATGGACAGCTTCACCCAGAAAAGCGTGATAGCTGTCTCTCCTTCGAAGGCCAAAATTAAACTCCGGAAGAATAAGGGCAAGGCACCCGAGCCTCCGGGACCACCCCTGGACCCGCGCGACGCTCAGCGACGTTTCGTCCGATCGAATTCGTCTCTGTGTCCCCGGACATGGGAAAACGAGTTCAACAGTTTGAACCTGGACAGACAGCCAAGATGCGATTCGAGAAACCGGCAGCCGGTTCCGCAGAAGAGTCGGCATTCCAGGCCGGAACCTAATTTATCACGCAGCAGACAACAGGAGAAAAATGTGAACGGGTCACAAAAGTCAATTTCCTCGTTAAATTCTCACAGATCGTCCCCGCGGAGCACAGCTGCACCCATTAATATGAAACAGCGGCCGCCGAATAAGATTATCCCCGTGGAGAACTCTAAACCTCCGAGAAAATCCGTCGTCACAGATACTCCGAAACCATCGCCAGTGAAGCCGCAATTCTACTTCTCGAACATGGACGCGCTCAAAAAAGAACCTCCGAAACCCACAATCAATTCTCCTGCCGTCGACAAAATGTCGACGAAGCCAGCGTCGCCTGTTGTAAAGCCTGCACAAGTTAAAACAACACCTGTCTCCACCGCGACAGTTCAACCCCTGGTGTCCAATAAAACTCAATCCAACCGTTCGGAGGTCTCGAGGGCCGCCCCGCGACCTGTCAAAGCCGAGGCGAGATCTTCTCTGGCACCAGTCAGCAGGGAAGTGTCCAATAAGCCCAACAGCGCGAGAGACCCTATCGTGTCCCGTATCGGAGTATCAGCCAATAAACTCATTCCGCCACCTCCGCCCATCACCAAGAAGCTGCCCGAAATCCCGGTGAAAATCGAGTCGCCGCCCGAGGCTCGTGACCCTGTCAAAAGCGCGGTGCGCTCCGGGCCTACGGTGAATGTCTCTCAAAAAAATAACAGGAACAACAAAGAGAGCAACGTAGGCATCATTCGACCCATGATGAACGATAACATCGTGTTCAAGGTCAGCCCGAACTTTATCGTTCCGCCGCAATGCGCCAGTTTGCCACAAACCGCGACGCAAATACTGGACGAGCTCGACGCTACCCTGGAGAACTATTCGCAAATAAGCGCAGAGCGAAAATCAGACGATAGCGATTACTGCGAACCCGATGAACGAGAAACGAATTCTCGCGCCTCTTCGAATACTCAGAACCCTGTCCCTAGAGAGTCCGGAGTTTTCGCTCCGCAGATACCTACCCCTAAATCGCTGGAAATGCTCTTCAGACCGCCGTCGCCGAAAGTTCTCCCACCCCCGACGAGATTCAATGGCTTGGACATAATTTCTCAGATCGAAATGACGTCGCTGCCTCTCGCCGATCAGCCGCCGACGCCTCCACCGATTCCGAGCAGTTGGATGAAAACTCGGAAGAACAGTCTCTCGTCCGACGAGAACGACGGGCTCAACGAAATCAACATCAGCGTCCACCTACGACCGTGTCTCCCTCGACGACCGCTGTTGCTGGCCTCGATGCCTTCCAGATTCTCTCCCACTCACGCCTGGAAGAGTTTGGATCCTGCGGGCAGCGACGGAGACCATCATGACGATAAGAGCTTGTCGGATTGCGAGCTCAACTTCTCCTCTTCGTCTTCGTCTTCAGATGAAGACCGGAAAGAGGACAACACACTGAAAGCGCATCTGTCGGTGGATTCCGGAATAACCGGAGGATACAGTCACCCGAATCCGAATCAGTGGACGCCAAAAGAAGATTTAATCGACACGGATTCCGAAAGTACCGGAGGTGGAAACGATCTGGGCTTGTGCTCATTGCCGAACCAGGCGCGATTCACGTTACCGAGCATGTTTCTACAGAATTCGGCCGGTGTCGATTCGAACTGGTCTTTCAAAAGCGGGCCCCATTCTTTACAACAGAAAAGTCAATCGTTTGTCTATCTTCCCCCGCCGAAGACTTCCGACAGCAGTGTAAATAATATCGGACTGACAAACAGCCAGCGATCTTTATCGGGTGGCAGGAATCCCTCGCTATCAACGGGTAAGTGAGCCACGGGCTAGCAGGAAGAATTTCAGATTCGCGCTCACAATACTCAAGACACGTTATGCGAGTTGAATGCCTCGGTATTCGAGAAACGTGATTCAGACGCTTTTCGGCCTCTCACGCCTTGAAATTCTCGGAGGTCTAACTCTCACCGCCACCGTTGCAGGTGTATCGCTCAATATTGAAGCTCACGACCCCTTGCTTGAAGCAGAACGCCTGAGAGAGAAAGAGCACAAATGGATGCAGAAAGTGGAAGAGGAGTTCCGCAAGCGACGTGAGAGAGACCGCCAAGAGCTACAAGAGCAGATGCAGCTGTTCAATTCATTAACGGCGAATATCCGTCCCGATCCCGAGGGCGGTTGTGACCAGCTGCAGGTTCGCTAAAGCCAGATATCGAAGTCCCCGCTTCATGAATGCCATTGAGTAGTTAATCGTTGTAAAGTAAATAAATGTTTATCGGAGGTAGACTCGTGACCTCCGCAATTTATTGAGGCCCTTGTGGAAACCCTACTCCATGCTCTGGACTCCTTGCCGAATGCGGAACCTCCGATCCCATCAAGAGATTCTGATTCGGCCGAGGACGTTCGAACTCCTCGTTTCATCCTGGTCTCAACACCTGCATCGGGGATTCGCGCGTTGGACTAATCGACGAATGTGCTCGACGCAAAGACAACAACAGATGTCTGAAAGATAGAGAACGAAAAATCATCGGAAGCTTCAGTGTGATTTTCAGTGGAGATCCTTCGCGAATCGCTGAGCTCAAGAGATTTGATCGCCATCTCTAAATATCAAGGTTTTGAGTTCAGATCACGGATAGTCTCGAGCTCACCCTTCGATTCCGTAGTGCTGATCGTATGCGCAGTTCCCGTTGTCTCCTGATCTCCGCCGTCTGTCGTTCCGTCATCGTCGTCGTCGTCGCCGCCTGTCGTCTCGTTTTCGTCCGTAGATATTGTCGTCTCATCTGTATCAATGGGTGTTGGGCTCGACGCGTCGTCTCCGGTCGTACTGCTCATTGTTGGACAGCCACCGGTACCCTGCGTGGCCATGGTGGAGGATCCGTTGTCCCCTCCTCCACTGGTCGTCGAGGAAGAACCGTTGCCGCCTCCTCCTGTAGTCATCGAGGACGAACCGTTGTCGCCTCCTCCTGTGGTCATCGAGGAGGAACCGTTTCCGCCTCCTGCAGTAGTCATCGAAGACGAACCGTTGTCGCCTCCTACAGTGGTCATAGAGGAAGAGCCGTTGTCGCCTCCTACAGTGGTCATAGAGGAAGAGCCGTTGTCCCCTCCTCCAGAAGTCATAGAGGTAGATCCCTTGTCCCCTCCTTCAGTAGTCATCGACGACGAACCGTTGTCCCCTCCGCCAGTGGTCATAGAGGTAGAACCGTTGTCCCCTTGGCCAGTGGTCATCGAGGTAGAACCGTTGTCCCCTCCGCCAGTGGTCATCGAGGTAGAACCGTTGTCCCCCCGCCGGTGCTTGTCAAGGTAGAACCGTTGTCCCCTCCGCCGGTGCTCGTCGAGGTAGAACCGTTGTCCCCTCCGCCGGTGCTCGTCGAGGTAGAACCGTTGTCCCCTCCTCCGGTAGTCATCGAGGTGGAACCGTTGTCCCCGCCTACAGTAGTCATCGGGGTAGAACCAGAACCCCCGGGTTGCGTAGAGGATGAGTCCTCATCTCCTCCACTCGTCGTTGGCATTGGGTAGGGGTTGCTGCTCGTGGTTCCGGAGCCGTTATCGGTGTTTCCTGACGGAGTCGGTACAGTGCTGACAGGCAGCTTGAACCCGCATCGAACAACGATTTTTGTGACCTCCTCCACCCTTAGATGAAGCTTCTTGCTATTGGTTATTTCCTCGTGGTCACATGCTCGCCTTATATGAATCTTATCCAGGGGCCTCTCGAGTAAGCAGCGCTGCAATGTAAGTTATCGTGAAGGCTCCGTCGAGACTCCCCGGCAGGTGAGGAGCAATCAAATGAGTGAGAGCCTTGACAGACCTGATACTGCTTCTGAATCTCCAGCAGGGTCAAGCGAGTAGAACTTTTGATCTCGGTACGCCGTGTCTGGAGATGGAAAACTTTCAGTTTGTCGGATCCCGTGGGCGAGTATGCTTCGCACAACAAATGCATCTGGGAGCCTCACCAGTATTTCTTGGAATGCGCAGAAATATCCTTTCTTGTTGTTGCGTATATCGACGTATCCCTGAGAAGGAAAGGAATGATGAGACGATCCCCCAGCCGGGCGCATGCTCCCCGCTCCATGAGCTCCTCTGCCCTGGAATACTCACATTTAGGACCTTGGTGATGCGCCGAACCTAGAAAGGGAGCATCAACAAATTAAATGGATTTCCTCATGGGGAGTTGAATAATTGCGAGCATGGAAGATCCGGAGAGGACCAAGCGACCCGGATACTAATGATTTTACCGGGAGCAGCGGAAGCAGCCTCGATCTGCTACTCACCGCGCGATAGTCATGATACTCCAGTAATAATTTAATTTGGCGCCGGTAATTCCGCCAGCAGAAATTGTAACCGTTGTCTTCCTCAGAGCTCTCGGAGCTCACCGAGCTGCCCCCGATCCGGGAGCACTTCTTCAGCGCGCGTTTGACGCTCAACTTGTACCCCCCAGCCCTCAAGAGATCCATTGGATTTCCGGGGGCCTCAGATCGCGCTTCCTCTTTATCGAAGGCATTCTCCTCGGACGACGAGCTGCTGCTACTATTCGGATCTGCTCTCGCTGCCTCCTCTTCCGATCCAACTTCTGACACGTTGATATCCTGCTCATTCGTATCCAACCAACGCCGTCTACCGTTTTTCTTCTGCTTTTTCCGTTGTTTCTTGCCTTTTGCAGGTCGGAGACATGCCTCGGAACAGAAGAAGATTCATTGTCTCTTCAGTTCTACTTTTATATTCGCTCCCCCACCCACCCGCAGCGATTCTCACCGAATATTCGTCGATGAGCTTCGACGCTCGTTGCCTCATAGAATTGGACCAACCCTCGTCCTCCTGGGGGTGGATTAGGGATAAGATTTCGGAGCAGCCCATAAACAGAACGGTCTCAATCTGATCGGAGGAGATCATTCAAGAAAACTGACGGAGGCAACCCCATAATTTTGTTTACCAAGACGGCAAGCGTGGTACATCGATGAAATTCCACGTTGTAGATATCGACAACACCCTGCAAGGAGTGGCGAGTAATCATACTACGTTACATGATTTCCGAGTGGCGATCCGAACTCTCGATCATGCGGTCGCTGCTGGTCGAGTCCACGGTTTCTTGAAACGTATCAGTATCCAGTAGGTCGCTCACCCGAACACTTCGGACGATATTATCCCCGTCCCTACGAATTCCTTCAAGTTGACGCTTGTAAGTCTGCCAACAGCCTGGATCGGATATCGACTCGTAGAAAAAAGTAGGGCGTGCGAAACTCGCGGTGACGGAAAGATATCTTTCACGACTCACGATCTTTGCTGGCGAAAACGACTTGTAGAACGGAGAGCACTAATATGGAAATGAGAAACATTCTGCATCTGGAGGAGCGAGACTTTGGATTGAGTCGCGGGACTGGACGCCCCCACGTCTTATAGCGCCCTCATAAGGAATATATGCGGTCAATTTCAGAGTATCGTCGAGCACAGCCTGGATCATGCGGGCGCAACGCCCAAGCTGGAGTCTCGTATATCGATTCCATTAGTAGCTTCGAGCCTTGATTTCGCGTGCCGCTCCGAGTGACGATCTTAATCCCGGGAAGACATGAGCACGCACGTAGGGTAGCGGGGTAGCGGCTGGGGGGACGTGCCGTATCTTCGCGCATGGCCGTATGACGCGGCGGTGTATGGACACCCGACCCTGGTGGGTTTCAGTTTCTCAGTCTCGACCGCAAGAGCACCTACAAGCATGAAAACCGCAGAGGAAGACAGGGCAATGAGTCTCAAACTTTTCGTCCATAGTGCGATCCTCGCCACGGTAATCATATTCTTGATTAAAGTGGCGGGATACGCGGATGAGCTTCAGCAGAGCCGGTGTCTCCTAGGAGTTCCAAAAGTTCTGCAGAACGCTTTTGTGCCGCCCTTCAATTGTTCGCTCTGTGAGCATCTGGACGAAGTTCCGTGGATTCTGAGCAACGAAACCGACCAGTATTCGCACCTGTGAGTATCGACCAATCACCGGGAAGGCTCATCTTCGGCAAGGGAAGAAGGCAGTAGCGCTCAGATCGGCCGCGATCCTCGAAAGTTCGAGTCTGACTCACTCTTCCAGGATCTTAAGAAAAGAGGTTCCACTGGTGGTTCGCGGGGCTTATCGGAAGATCGCGTCGGAGAAGACCATGAGCTGGGACTCCCTCAAAGAGATTTACGCGGGGCGAACCAAGAAGGAGACGTGCCAGTTCTTCCCCTACAAAACCGAGTTCAGAGACCTCGAGGATGCTCTACAAATGTCGCATGAACGCATGCAAAATCATTTTTACGTTGGTTGGTGAGTCTGAGGGTGGCTCCAGCACGTCTTGGGATAGAACGATTGAATTCGAATGTATTTCGCTGACGCAAGTCTCACCGAGCAGGAGCAACTGCGACCCGAGCATCAGCGAGATCCTGCAGAAAATGTATGATGTTCCTGATTTTCTCCCAAAAGATTCCGAGAGGTCAGCTCTGGAGTGGTTCTTCGTTGGAAATGCGGGACAGGGAGCTCACCTACATGTGAGGGAATTAGACCTACGTTCGCAATATCAGAAAGACCATCATCACCGTTAATTCGAGGTGTGCGAGAGATCTCTTTCCGATGGAAATTGTTTCTCGATTCTGAATTCTCTCTTGTTGCAGCTGGATCGCTTGGACAAGCCGTCTTGGCAAGCCCAGTTGGGCGGATCCAAACGTTGGACGTTTGTTCCTCTCTACGAATGCTACTTTGCGTGTCGTCAGCTGGAGATAGTCACCTACCCTGGCGACATCAGTAAGGCCACTCTTGAACCCCCTAGTGTCGACAAACCTCCTTGTTCTCGAAACGCTCGATATCAGAACTCTTTTCATTCCACAGTTCTCCTCGATTCGAGCATCTGGTACCACAAGACCGAAGTCTTCGGGCCTGAGCTGAGTATCGCCCTCGGATCAGAATATGACTAGGGGTTCGCTACGGCGCATAAGTGATAGGGGGATCATGCATGGGTGTCTGTGAACATTGATGTTGATGGTTTTCGACGAAATTTGTGGTAGCTCCGATTTCGACGACATGTTATTTGCTTAGTCTTCACCAGTCAGCCCAGTCTTGGGTCCAAGGGGAAAGGGGAAAGGGGCCAAGTGTTGGGCGAGAAAGGATTTCCTTGAACTTCAAAATGATATCAGGCCTCGCGGCTTGTCAAACTCGACTGGGATGCCATCGATGACGTCATTCGTCCTCACAGTACCACGGGGTTGCCTCAGGCAGCGAACGGCAGTCTTCATGGCACTGGAAGACTAAACAATTCGCATGACCCGGTATTCTGCGCTACGGGCTCTTCTCCTGCTGCGATCATCTGAATGTCGTTCGTCAGCGCGTCGTCCCGTACTGATGCCATGAATAAAACAATGATGTGGAGATGTTCCTACATGTTTGATATATCTGTCTTCCCTGAATGTCGCCGGTCTGGCGGGGAATATGGGGTGTTGGATTCGAGGAAGACGCAGTCATCTCGCGATTAAAGTCTGAAATTTGACATGTGACTCTCAACCATTCCACAGCGCAATGAGCACGCATTCAATTTGGAGGGTACGAAGTTACCGTTCCGAGACGCAATGTTTTTTTTCGGGGGTCGGGACATCTCCGCAAGTTGCGGATTACCAGGTGTCGCGATCTATCCGGGGTGTACACCCCATACAAATTGACAACCACATGCATAGGTAAGGGTGTCGTTGATGCCTGTGATCAGTCCAACCCAAGAACGAGAGAGTCGAACATTCAACTTCAATTCTACGAGAGCCTCTGCGCCATCCGGAGCGACCTTCTTGCCCGAAAGCTTTACCCTCGTCTCTGCTTCGTCTCCTGAGTGAGTGTGCAGCGATGCTGACCACTACCGCGTCCTCCCGCATAAGTTTCCTGTCTGAGACTCCGGCCGGAGGCTCGAATTTACGGAGATCGGTGCTCAAAACATGTTTCTGAGAAAGCTTCACCCTGCAACCCGAGGAATCGAGAATCGCCCCTTGAATCCATGAGAGCTGTCTCTCTACGGGGAGCCGGGGATCAGTTTTTCGACTTCCAATTTCTGACTCAGAAATAATTCCATCATCTGGCAAGATCATCTCCGAGTAAGTCCTCCTTATTTGGGTATTAGGGAGAGATTTTTTTTCCTAATGCCCCTCAGACCTCAGAGCGGGATCGGATTCTAGATATTCCAGAGCAGCGCTTCCAGAGAGAGGCTCCAGGCTCCCAAGTGAAGCATTTCTTCCTCCGCTACTTCTCCCGTATCTATATGTTTATATCCGTTTCCGAGTTCCTGGTTCACAGGGACGGTCTCGGCCAATGGACTTTGGGACCCCATAAACTGAAGTTCTCGACCAGCCCAAGCATCGAGAGAATTAGGACGAAGATGGTCGGGGAAGACTCGCAGAGCTCCCCAAGAAGACTGAATTCTCCTCTGCAACTCCTCCGCTATCTTTAAGCGCTTCCCACCGGATTCAGGGAGGCGGTCTCGAGGGCCGTCTCATCCACCGAGCTCAATGGCCTCCTGGGGAATCAGGATCTAGATCCACGCAGTTTCCAACTTTTCTGCAAAGTTAGATATCAGAGGACAAGTTCTAATTATACTGAGCTGCGATCACCAAAAGCCAATAGTATCATATCGTTTGCAGGCGCGGGAAATATGCTCTCCACCGTATCAGCGTCGAAGCAGCCCTTGTGTCGACCAAAGTTTCCGCGCCTGTATACCTTTTGGTATAACCGGCCCGACGCAGTCCCTATGACCCAGCCTCGGGCGTTGTTCTCGAGCGTTCCCGTTCCAGCGCTCCAGTTGACGTGTTCTCGTCGGCCTCGTTCCAGGTAAGCCCCCTCGAGCCCTCCAGGGGCGTCGGATGGCGGCGATGAAGAACATTTCTTCCGGGCAGGTGATGAATCGTCTCATTGTTCAAGACATGAGCGGATCGATTTTGCAGCGAGACGCCGGAGAAATCGATTTTCGGAGATGAAAATGACAAAATGTCGATGATGATGTGCACGATCGAATATGGGACTCATCCACAAGAATCAAGATAAGATAGTGTGAAGAATTTCAGAGCGAGTGTGAATTAGCTCAAGGAGTCTAGACTTGTATCACCCTCCCACAGCTTCCGGACCGGGCCATGTGTCTCACTCGTTTCCCCTGTGGTCTCGCGTAGAACATCGGGAAATTCCCACATCAGATTCCCTCCGGAGGCGAAACTCAGAAATGCCGCCTTCCCAGACTGCAACGGTCCATTCAGCGCGTGCTCAGGTTCCCCCTTGCCTCCCTCCTCGCCCGCTTCACTTTCCCCGAACAGCAGTTGGTGGCGACGTTACGGAGAGAAAGGCTGCGAGATCGAGTCGAGCAAATACATTCCGGCTCGAGCCATCTATGTAGACGGAAATCCACGCATTACCGCTTCGCGAGCCTCACTGCCGTCCCGTCAGGAGATCCAAGAGATCCGATTCTCGCAAACTCTCGGACCTCAGGAATCGCCCCGAGATCGCACATTGACGCCGGGTGACAACCCTCATCTCGGGAAGCGGTGAGTTCCCCCGTGTAGAGACTCATAGGGGCTGACGCTCGATTGTCTTGGTCATGGATCGGAGGCTTCAAAATTCGTCTAAGAACTATTGATCTAAGAACTAACTTCGATCAGAAACGGGAGAGCCTCCGACGAATAATTGACCATGGAGGCCTTGATGTTGTTGAGAATACACCAGGCAGAGCGAATGGCGGTTTTCCGACGAACGTGACTCATCGCTCGAGAGAGTTCTAAAGCTGTTGCTGTGCACGGTCGAATGGCAGAATCAAGATCCGTCCATGCTGGACGACTTCTGGCGTTATACCGCCCATGTGAGCAGGATTCAAAAGCATCCTCAGGATGAGCCCCTCTCGTTACTCACGAGATCCAGTTTTCGAGGCGATGGGAATTCCCCCCCTTCTGTGCCTCAGATGGACTCCAGTAGGCGAGCCGCCTGTGAAAAGCCCGAGCTCCATTCTCCGAAGAGCGAAATACCGTCGGGGCGCTTCCACGATGTCGGCGAATGATCCGCACGCTCAGACACAAACCTAACAATAAGAGAAACCTTATCTGAACACAACACTGATCCGGCGGACACCGCGCGCTGCTTTTCCGTGGCGCCCTCGAGAGAGTATATCGATACTCCTGTTGAGAAACATTGAATGCTCCATTGGAATCAGTCGGAGCCGGATAGTGAGTTCAGTGGTTCTGCCCTTCCAGCTCCAGTCGGCAAGGATCAGTGGTGAGATAGAGAGGTATGGCGGAATCAAGCGAGGGTGTCTCACATGAGATAGACCGCGCACCGGGTAAACAAGCCTCTCACCACTCACAACAGAGCTCGAGTCCGAGATGGCTTCTCCACACCAGTGGAGCTCGAAAAGCTTGCCGTGGCTGTTCTGAATTGCTTCGTTCACCTCTCCGATCAGAAGAAGCGACGCGACGCTCAGCGGTGAAGCCCGTCCTCTTCCCGACACCGTCGTATACGGTACATGGTTATATACGCCATCAAATGGTTCGCGATAAACGATAGGAAGAAAAAGTCGGAGACTGCTCCTGATGATAATAGCTTAGGGGAACCAAGGCTTTCGATCCGAGCGCTCCCTCTGAGATCCTCCGTTCATATGTATGTGAGTCCAGCCGCCGAGACTGGGACCTAACTGTGAATCGGGAGTATTATTCGTTTTTTAGCAGCGACCTTCTCTGTGTTTCCGGGGAAATTGGTCTTTCAGAGGAGCTCATTGGCACTACACTCGCTTTCCGAGCAGGCGATCTTGGGATGGAAAATTCTGCGAGTTCTGAGATCTTATGAACGGCACTACGGCACCGACCGCCTTCGTATCGTATCGTCTGATGAACTGCTCAACATCTCGATTTTCAGTCTCTGGCGAAAATGTTCCAGCCGTATCCGCGTCGTGCCGCGGGCTCAGGACGGATCCGTGTCTCGAACTTCGATCTCCCTTCTGATCCGGGCCGTGGAAGAAACTTTGGCGATCCATCGACATCATTCAAACGGAACCGAGGAGGAGCGCCTCGACAATCGTCTAATTACGATTCGAGAGGTCAGTGGGTACCTAGTTCGGTACAGTCTACTCCATGTGGAAGGGAAGCCCGGGAGTCGCATGCGTCCGATGAGTCGGAGCCAGAACAAGATATCTGCGTCAGTTTGACCGTAGGAATGAGCATGGTAAAACCCAAGCGCGAAAATCACATCTCGGAACAGACTTAGGAACTCGACCCTTCTCTGAAAGGGAGCGATTCCGGCTACGGACCTATTGAGGGAACTGACTGGATTCGTTCCCGAGCTCACGCAAAACATCACAGGATTCCAATTCATGGAAGCAGATCTCAAAGCCTTAAATGAAGTTTCAGTGAGTCTGCCTCTCACCGCGCGTCTTCTGGACACTATGACGGGAGAAAAGGATGCCGACCACTTGGTCGTCGCTCTATCCATCAAGCCTGGCTGGAAACTTCTGCTCGAGTCCGATTTCCGAAGTGAGTCGTCCGAGGAAGTCTGATGCGTTCTCTGGGACTCAGTAGGTATCCACCAAGATAAGTTTCTTCTAACAAATCCGTTACCTTTCCATCTCAGCCACTGAACTCAAAGCAATCTTCGCTACCCTGCATAAATGCTGCAAGGCGTCATCTTTGGATTTACTACGGCAGTTCTTGACCGATACCATCTCAGATACCTTCAAGTTCGTCAATCGATGTTGTTCATTGCTGCCGACCATCGGCCTGGAAGATCTGAAATTCGTCGAAGACGTCGTCGGAGTTCTCGAGGTGCCTCCTTCTCACTCGGAACTCGAATACCCGATCTTGTCATGAGTATCGCAGCAATGTTCCAGAAAGAGGTTCGCACGACAGGATTCCAGAGTTCATAACGAAGAAATTTCGTACCCAGAGTTCGGCGTGGTTGCAACCTGCAGGATTGGCAAGGCCTTGCATGGTGATACTCAGCTCGTTGGAAGGGAATCGTATGATGGCTCCGTGGAACGACGCTTCCAACTTGGATCTCTACGCCAAAATCAAAACGGTCAGTGAGAAGATCTGCGATTCACATTCCAAATCCTCCATGAATAAAGCCGACTCGTCGGAGTTTCCCAATTTCAAAACATTCTGACCAATCGAAGCTCTGTAATAGACTCGCGATCAATTCACAAATGCCGCGAATCTCGACGTCGCTTGCCGGGAGGCAACGGTGAGGGGTCCGAGAATCTACAAGGGCTACAGAACTTCCGGGCAGGCATCGACGAATTTCCGCGAGATGTGCATTTTCCCCACCAAAGAAGATCTCGAGGAAGAACATCCTTTCCTGAGGAAAAACATCATAAAAGGTGCATGAACGATTCGACGACCCCTTGACAGGGGTGATCCGTGGAAGATAATAATCGGCTCCGACAGCGATCATTGGTCTGACAGGTGCCTACGAGAGTGTCGACGATTATCTCGATGTACAGTTCCGTTTGCTCCGGGAGGACTACGTTACTCCGCTGCGTGACGGTTTGCGAGAATTCAAGAATTTGGGAGGTGAATTCTGCCGTCAAAAACTTCGTTCCATCCAAGATGTGCGTTTCTATGGTGGAGTACTATACCAGAGGCCGCAGTCGTCCGGACCTGTAAGTGCTTCCCTCGAACCTTCCGAAATCATGGTCCGCGAATGATCGCGGATTAGTCACTCACACATTATCCGCCCGGTAGCTCACAAAAACTGAGGAGAAACTCACGCTGGTGCTCGCACTCGAAGACCACAAATTCATCAATTGGAGCCGCTCCAAGCGCTTCACGAACGGCTCCTTGATTGGCATTTCTCCGGACAAGTTCGAGACGATCATTTTCGCTACCGTCTGCAACAGGGATGTGGAAGCCTTGAGTCAGTCGGGTGAGTGGGCCGCCAGGATATTGCTCATATTGATGTACACTTGCTCAAACAACTCTGGAGATCCGTCGAAACCCTGGGAAATATCTCCTGAATCAGGCATCGGACCTACTTCCCACCCCGCAGGTATTCTGACATTGGACCTGTGCTTCGAAGAGGATATGCTGGAGTTCAAGTCCGGTATCGAGTTCAGTTTGGTTGAGAGCAGCGGAGCCTACTTCGAAGCCTATCGTCACAATCTTGCAGTGATCCAGTCCATCACAGAGCTGCCGTTTTCGAGGCAATTGGTTTTCGCGGAAAAAGACGTGCGGGCGCCTTCTTTCATGTCTGATTACACAGAGCTGGACATGGCACCGATACTCAAGCATGAGACGGGCGGAATGGTGCGCAGAACTGAGTCTTCCCCCCCTCCCTCTGAGTTCCGCTCATTGAGCTGCATGAAGATTCCGAAGCTTCCCATTTTTGGACGACTCTTGCTTGCAGAGAATGCTCTCTGTCGACGCGTGGCCGCATCTGGAGGATACCGTCTTGAATATTCGACAGTACGAGGCCATACGGAATGCGTTCCGCAACGAAGTGTGCGTAATACAGGGTCCGCCAGGTACCGGAAAGACATTCGTCGGTCTCAAAATCGTCGAGCTTCTGATCGCGAACAGACTATCTAGAAAGCCCATCCTAATCGTCTGCTACACGAATCACGCTCTCGACCAGTTCCTCGAAGGTGATTATGCTCAGGTTCTTATCACATGTCGAAATATTTCTATTCCTCTGAGCCCATACTTCTCTCAGCCAGTGGATGTATAATCTGAGATTCCGTATGGATTTAGCGAAGCTCTTCGGGTCATCACTTGGGAGCATATCCATTTCACGATCATGATTTGGATACTTCTTGTCTCCGGAAGAGATTTCCAGCAGCGGTTCGTGGCGGTGTCGAATAATCTGTTTGAGGGGGCAAATCTTCCATGAGTCTCTGAGCTTATGATTCGATCATGCTCACGAATGCGTCCTCCCGGACTCGTTCCTTGGAGCATTTTGATGCCTCGAGATGCAGACCAAACGTTTCCTGTCCTGCATCGGTTCACTGCAGAAATCATGAGCATCCTCTGAAAAATCCGATGTTCCGATCGACGGCAGGTATATCGAAGTTCACTCGTGATATCGTCCGCGTCGGGGGCCGCTGTAACTCGGAGAATCTGGAGAAATTCACCCTCCGCAGTCGCCGTCGCTACCACGATTTTCGCTCTCCCGAAAATTACGATCGGCAGAAATTGAGAACACTGATGATGACCCTCTCAGAAAAAAGGGACGTTCTCATGCGACAGCTCGAGCAAATAGAAAACTCTATAGCATCATTCGAAGGGTAGGTACCCGCAGTAATCCGTCGAAAATTCATGCGAATATGAGTGCTTATTGGAACTTCATTCAGACCCCTCTTCCGACAGGAGAGCGATATTCGAAGATGTGACGGGGGGCGGTGAGCGATGGAGAAACGTACTCCAAGTCAACTCCATCGCTCGGATTCTTCAAGAGGAGGAGGCGCAAGTTGCTGAAGAAAACTTGGAAGACGACGGACACTTGAGCGACGAAGATCGGGGAGAGTTGGAGGTACACATTTTAAATGAACGAAGAACTCATCTCGCCCCCGGGAGTCGTGTTTTCGCGCTCCGATCGGCGATACCTTGATCCGACATGCCGACAAAGGACTCAGGATGTGATTCCCTTCTCTAGGATGAACTCGAAACTCCGATCCGACCAAAATGCCATTCGAGGACAGAGATAGCGATCAGAACGTTGCTCGGATCCCACAAACGAGAAAGCTTGGATGGCGCATTCGATGAGCTACCCTACATCAAATACAAATGGGCACGACGCCGGGCGTGGGAGGAGATGCTGGAGAGCGCCGATTCCCAATCACTCCCGATGACGACTGCCCCTCCCGCGCTTTCGGTTTTCGAGTGGTGGAAGCTGTACCGAGAAGTACATTGGGATCGAGCCGTCGAGGCTGCGACGCATTACCTCAAAGCTTGTAAGCAGCTGCGTCATCAGCCGAGCGGACTCCTTGTGGAATCAGAGCATCTCCAGATCTTGAACCAGCCCCCGACGGACGAGGTCGGCCTGACCCTGAGGTGTCTGCATTACCGTTTGAAGCGAATCCGCCAAGAGTTTCTGTTAGTTTCCCATGAGTGCAACCCGCCCTGATATCTACGGGAAATTACGTGCACGACGACGCGGCGATTTCCGATTTCTTCGCGGGGAGTCCTTTAAATTCCGAATTCTCGCAGGGACAACTCTAAACAACTCAACGAAGTAGAGAATTTGATGGATTCGGAAATCATCAAGAGCGCTACGATCGTCGGGATGACGACAACAGGCGCGGCGAAATACAATGCAATGCTCCGTAGGGCCGAGTGTGAGATCATCGTTGTTGAAGAGGCGGCCGAAGTGCTAGAAGCTCATCTCATCACGACCTTGGGTCCATCGACGAAGCAGCTCATACTTATCGGCAAGACCTCGTTTCGTGGTCTTCATCGCATTTTTCTCTCCGAATTTCACCAAATTGAGGCGAGCAAACGCTTGGAGCTCTGAGCTGTCAACTATTATCTTCTCGTTTTCAGGGGACCATCAACAATTGCAGCCCAGCGCCACTGTTTACAAACTTGCGACCCATTTCAATCTCCAAGTTTCTCTCTTTGAGAGACTCATCAACAACGGTATCACTTACGTGCGACTGCAGGAACAGCATCGCATGAGGGACGAATTCTTGAAACTACTCGTACCGACGATCTATGCGGATTACTTCTCTCATGAGAGCGTTTCGAGCTACGAAAACGTTCGAGGTATTCGATCGTGCCCACCTGTCCGGAATTCAGAAAGCACCTATTCTCATCGAAATCTGTTTCGGCGTATCTATCGCGGGCGGTTCCGATAGCAAATCACCGGACGGGAATTTTCTCCCTTCACTCAGGTCTGGCGCAGAACCTATTCTTCGTCACTCATGAACATAGTGAAAATGTCGAGAGCGAGAATAGCTCGAAATCGAATTCATTCGAAGCCGGGTTCGTCACTCGCCTGGCTCTATATCTGCGCATGCAGGGTTACTCCCCGTCGCAAATCGTCATACTCACTACGTACTCCGGTCAGGTGCGTGGGCTACTGGAAGCACTATTAGTATGAATTAGTATAAACCGATTGACGGATAGGACGTCCGATTCTCGAAACTTCACTTCTCCTGACGAGATTTGGATCCTCCAGGTGTTTGCCATCCGAAATGAAATTTATCAAATCGAGAGCAGCCGTCGCTGGAGTGGCATGAAGACGATCGTAGACGGAAGAGGAAGGAGATCCCGCGTGCCCGTGCATCCAGAGCTGCCACTATCCATGTTCGAAGGCGGGATACCCCTTGAATCGATTACCTATCAGCTGGATATCCTATTGGGACCATGAATGCGGGGTTCTCGTTTCTTGAACTGAAGAGAAACTTTCCGCTCCATCTACGCAGGGATTCGGATCACGACGGTGGACAATTATCAGGGCGAAGAAAGCGACATCGTCATCGCTTCGTTCGTCAGGAGCAACGTGGACGAAAAAATCGGCTTTCTTTCCAGGGACAATCGCGTGTGCGTGGCTCTCTCCAGAGCGAAGAAAGGTTTTTATTGCGTGGGAAATATCGCGATGCTCGCGAAAGCCTCGAAAACATGGGAGAACATATCTCGAACTCTCCTTGAGGGGAACCATGTGAACAAAGGTCAGTCATTGCAGAGAAGCTCTCTGAGGCTCTCCGAACTTCATCCCACGCTCCCACGAGAGGAGGGAACGCCTCGCTTGTCTGGAGGTCCGGAGCAACCTGAAACCGATGAGAAATGCCTCCAAACTCCCCTTCCAGGTCTAGAACTTTACTGCGATACCCACAATTTTCGCCTAATGGCTACAGAGGCCCGTGACTTCGATGAGTTCTCTGACGGAGGATGTTCGCAGCCATGTGGATATCGTCTGGATGCTTGTGGTCATGTTTGCCCGAAAACCTGCCATAAGTTGTATGCCGACCACGAAGAGATACTGTGAGTCGAGACCAATCTTTCAATTCGGGTATCATAGCTGCCCCGTTCCCAGTATGATACCGGGAGTGTGTATGGCCCCGTACTTTGTTTTGAAAGCCAGCGTGTGCTCTTTCGAGGTGTCGACGAAAATGCGAGAGGGAGCGACCTTGTGGCCACCCTTGTGTGCTGGATTGCTTCCAAAGCTGCGGAAAATGCTACTCCGAAGTGATTAAGACTCTAGGTTGCGGACACGAAGTCAGAACTGTGTAAGTTCAACGCGAATTTCCTCTGTCGCGAGATGCTCGACATGAGCTCGGACTCGATATGGATATACCGGCTCATTAATGATCGCTTGCGGTTCTGATTCTCCGAAGATGTCACCTGCCGCCCGAACTTATAGAGTGCAGCATCGTCGTCGAGAAACCCTTGGAGAAATGCGCGCACTCAGCGAGCCTCCCGTATGTTAATTTGAGGGATAGGAAATGCCTCCTTGTCGAACAATCATGATACGGTTACGAGGTGGAGCCGACTAGTTTCCCAAGAGAGTCCCATCCCGCAGATGCTGCTCTCCAACGAAGGATTATCGATGCCAAGAACCCTGCCAGCGTCTGATGCCGTGTAACCTTCATCCGTGCACGAAAAAATGCTCGTCGCCTTGTGGGAAATGCATGGAGTTCGTTGAAATGGAATCTCCTTGTGGTCACATGGTCACGGTGCAGTGTCGAGATAGCAAAGATGAAGACTGTCTCCGACACGCTTGTGTAGCGAATGTTGAACTTGAGCTGCCCTGCGGGCACAAAAACATGATCGCTTGCTCACTGAGAAACGCGACCGTCATCACAGACCTAGAAGATCGTTGCCAGCAACGAACTAGTGTGTCATGCTCTTCTGGACATAAATTCCATGCGAAGTGCTCGGTCGCCAAACAGCAAGAGTCCGTCGACGAGCGTTGCGCCTCCGAAGTGTCCGTCCCACTCCCGTGCGGCCACAGTATCGAACGACCATGTAACGAGGTTCAGCGCCTCGATGTTTCGGAAATTCAATGCCGAAAATTAGTTGAAGTGGATCTGTTGTGCGGTCACAGTACGGAGGTAGAGTGCAAGTTGGTGTCAAGCAAAACCTACGACATCGTGTGTCGAGCTACTGTGGAAGAGACTCTCGGCTGTGGACACAAGCTCCTCCGTAAATGTGGTGAAGAAGGAAAATGCATGGAGAGAGTCACCACGAAGAAACCTTCTTGTGGCCATGAAGTTGTCACCCAGTGTTGGACGCTCAGCCGCGAGAGCCTAGCCCAGGAGAGCTGCCCAGCTCCGTGCAAAAAAATTCTTCAGTGTGGTCACGGCTGCAAAGGTTCGTGACTATCGTCGAATTCGCTTGTCCGGTATACGAGCCTGCGTCTGGAGATCCCAGACGAATTCATGATTATCTCGAGGAATGAGGGAGGAAATCTGACTTTTAGGTTCGTGCTCTGGATGTTCCGGCGATGGTTTTCATCGGGAATGCCTCTTCAAGTGTCAGGCGACATTGTTCTGCGGCCACCCTTGTGGCTCGATCTGCCACTCCCAGTGCAACCCGTGCCAGAGGAAAGAGAAAGTCGTCTGTTCTCATGGTGTCAAAACCGTCGAATGCTCCTCGCTCATCAACGAGCCGTGCACCAAGACACCCCGACACTGCGAACACTTGGACTGCGGAGCGGAACGGTGCACCGACTGTCATTGCAGGTGCGATGCTCGCTGCACCAGAATTTTGTCGTGTTCGGGAGGTGGTCGAGGGAGGAATAAGACCAGAAGTTCGAACCATCAATGCGTCGGACTCTGCTCTGAACTCTGCGTGTGTAAAATATGTTACGCTCGGGAGATAAACGGTGCGACTCTGGCGGAAAACGTCAGCTTCAAGAACGCTCGTTTCATAAAACTTCCGTGTAACCATGTGTTCGAGGTCAACTGGTTCGATGAATACATTCGACGGCACGGAAACGTCTTGCGCTTCCCCGAATGTCCGAAACGCAACTGTGGAGCTCAGATAAGACTCGTGAAGAGGTACCACCAATTTTTGGAACGCATTCGACTGAACATGCGCGAAGCCCATACGCGCGTTTTCGGTGACTTCGACCAAATGAGGGAATCACATATGAAGCTCTTCCAACGATGCCAGTCCGATCAGACGATTGCTCCACCTGGAAGAGAGGAAGTGTTGACACTCTTCAAGGACAAAGTACTCGAGTTGAGTAACACGCCGTCTCGCTTCGTACACGAATATTTGTCATCGCTCCTCAGTGTAAGCTCATCCTGTCTTGTTCTGGGTCCAAATCGATTTCCTGTCCGCGACGAATCCGGTGAGAAGCCACTTTTCTTTTCCTCTCCAGGTTTTGAACGATCCCGCTGCGAATCGCGGGCCCGATGCTGCCGAACGCTGGAAGAAACTCATCCGGGGAGGAGGGCTCCAGCTAGAGCGCCTGAGTGACTTTGTACGCTCAGCTCTCGGAGAAACGGTAAGACATCGGTGAACATAGTGGTCTCGCGTAGTTTGACTTCGTATGAATTTTCTAGGGTTGGTTCAGATTTGATAGTGTACTCTTCTAGGCCGCGAAAGCCATCGCCGTACCTGAAAAGCCTATTCGTGTGGACGGATGGGTCGCGTGTGAGAAGAACCACGTTTTCCTGGGCGGAAAGGATGTGAGTTGATCAGACGATTGATCGATCGATCTTTTCCATTCCCTGCCCCCGATCGAGTCCCCTCTAATAGTTTTCGCCCTCCGCAGGAGCACTGTCGCGAGTGTATTCCAGAGGATCTGATCGCGGATAACCTTGGAGAGCTGCAGCTTCAAAAATCTCCCGGGAGTTCAACGTCTGATTCCACGGACTCCACTGTTTGAAATTCTCTCGAGAGGGTTGACATACTCTTAACATACTCTTAACAACAATCGAAATCTCTCGAGGTCTACAGTCTGCGGGCTAATAAATTTTGAGCTCTCAAGTAGGCGTTGCCATTTGGTTTTACATCCTGTTCATTACTTCCGAGGGGGGCAGAGTAGAATTCTCAACATGGTTGCCACTTCGTCGCGCGGCTAGGCGCCACCGGAAGCTGTAAGTTATGCGAGTTTCCCTGGCTCGAGGTAGAACGAACAATCCACGAGATCGAGTGTCGGTCGTCCCGATCGCGGAGAAAGCGGCTGGATAGGATACGCGAAAGGGCTCCGCATGCACCAGGATAACGCAGCATCCTCACTGCTTTTCGTTTCACGCATTCTTGCTACATCATTGCTTTGACCGCGAGGTCCCTCGGATCGCTGTTCTGCTCTTCTGGCTTCCGGGGCGGGAGACGAACGGAGGATGAGTTCTCGCATTTTTCATAATGAGCAAGTTCACACACCGGCTTCAAGGCGGCTGTGTTATCAACAGATAAAATCAGTTTCATTTCCTTGAGGGAACATATTCATTCGTCCCGTTCGAGTGGACTTCTCGAATTACTTTCAGTATACGACTCGATAGTCCGTAATACGGATGCATGAACATAAAGCTTACAAAAGCAAGCGTCCGGGACGCGAAGAGTTTCGAAGAAGTCTCGGGGTCGCGCAGCTCCGGCATAAGAGTTCAGCCTCTTAAACAGTCCGACTGGTCCGCCGATCTGCATTCCGGTCGCAGCGAGCCCCCAGCAGTCCAGCATCTCATCGGCACGGCTATCTTTCCCCTCTCGCACTTCGATTCGTTCGGTACGGCTAAAATATATCTCTCGAAATGCTCACCTCGACATATGTTCGATGGAGTATTCGTAGGTCGGGGATATTTTGTGCTCTCAATCAGCAGCTTATGAGTTCATCTGATGCGCTGCGAGCCGCGAGGCCAAGCCAGGTGACTCGGGAGTCGGATCGGTGCCCACGTTGGATCTGTCGAGTCGAGGAAAATCACCGAATGTCAAGCGGAAGTTTTGTGACTCGACCGCGCCCCCAAAACATGCAATAGAGAGTTCGGGGTTCGAGGTCCGATGATGAGATGATACACGAATACATGTTATATACGCAAAAGGCACCGATGAGAATTCGATGTGAGTCTTTCTTGATAACGAAGTCACACGATACCTTGGGGACACGATGCCTGGAGTTAGAGGCAAATCGAGGATGGTGTTCTCGAAAACAACTTCCGACGATACTCAATTCGATCCGGAGAATCCCACGGACGCAAAGGTGCTGAAACGCACGGTCTCGAGGAGATTGCAGCTCGACTTGGAAGACAAGGAGTTCTTGGAAGACTTCGCAAAAAAACTCAACAAGTCTGGCATCGATCTGAAACTCGATGCGCGCGGTGAGGCAGATGTCGGGGATGGAAAGCTCGTCCTCGCGAGAAGCCAGACAATCGATCCCACGATAGGTTCGAGGAGCTGGACCCTGAGTGACTCCTTGTCCGCATCTTTCGAGCCCTTCCAAGAAATTGAAAAAAGTAAGAGCTATGGTCGTTGAGCGGCGAGGTCCCTTGCAATGAATAGTCGAATGGAGACTCCCAGTTCCAGATCCCCACGGTCGGAAACCGCGGCGATCTGTGTACTTGTCTGGGAGATCTTCCGGGAGAGCCTCCCACGTACCATACTTAATGCCGAACATTTCAGTAAAGCTCCCGGGACTTCCACCCGTGGATGATAAGGCAGGTGAGTGACGGAGGCGTAGATTGTGAGAGTTACGAAACCAATAGTGTTACTTCCATGATGTCCCACCTCACTCTTTCATCAATCATTGGAGACTTACATTTCCGTCAGCGTTGAATGAAAAATCGAAACCGTCGAAGAAAATTTCAAAAAAATCAAAGAGGTCCGGAAAAGCGAAGAAGCGGAGTGAGAAACCGAGGAATAGCAAGAGGCCAACGAAAGAATCTAATGCGGTGTCGAAAGACGGTGGAGCTAAATCGAGAGGCTCGAAGAGCTTCCCCATGTCTTGCTCTTGCTGTCGAGTGTTCGGTAAAGCCGCTGGTGCCGCCGCTGCCGGTGTAGCAGCTGTCGGAGCAGCCGCACTCGAGGCAGCCAATGATCCTACGGCGATAGCACCCGGAGGAAAAGCGAGTGAGGAACTCCATCTCATTTTTCGCGCATTTATGTCTCCCGCCCCGCCTAGGAAATGCTTAGCGAAACACGAATTTTTCGTATGATTCAATAATTCGTTTGACGTTCAGGTGCTGGCCCCACGAAGGGTCCGGGAGTATCCAAGCTCGCAGATAAGGCTTTCATACCTGACTCGAAGAAACCCCTGGTAACCCTGAAGGCTCTCAGCGCTCAATTCGCGAAGGACTCGCGGGCGGCGAAAAAAAGTAAACTTCCACCACCGTGCTGCGCCTGTCTTCCGTGTTTCGTTGCGAAACCCGGTGCGGAGGCCCCGAAGGTGAGTCCGGGGAAGACGTCACGAAATATTTAGACGAATCTCCGCGACGGACGATCGTATCATAACCGCCAACTAGACCAGGCGACTCCTCCCTCCTTTTGAAAAACTATAGTCCGCTTTTAGAGCAAGGCGTCAGCGAAACACGAGTCGAGAAGGTCCAAAAAGTCAAGGAAATCAAGAAGTGCCCATCAAAAGCGAATGGAACCGGGTAAAGCGGCAGGGAGCGAGAATGTCATAGCAAAGATGGTATCCGAAAAGTTGAGCAAACGAAGGCTCTCCGACAAAATCGAAGAGAAGATTTCAAAGAAACTCTCCAAGACGGCTGTCAAAGGCGAGAAGCCTAAAGGAGCTACCCCGACTGGCCCATCTGCTCCGGCAGGAGATGAAGCTGCGATCGAGACGGATTCCATGAAAAATGCGAAAATGCTCTCCGCCGTGGTCGGGAAGAAGGTCAGGAAGATCATGGACGAGCAGCTTTCGAGGAGGGTTTCAGAAAAGCTCGAGGTGAAACTGAACAAGAAACTCGGGGGAGGTCATGGATCGAGGAGATTCGACAGGAGAAATAGCAAAAGGAGCTCGAAGAAGAATAGAGCTGATAGTCCAAAATCTTCGCGGGGTAAGAGAAGGATGTCGAACCGGAGGAGAACTTCCGCGAAGTCGCGCTCTCCGAAAAGCAGGAAGAGCACGAGGAGTAAGACAAGCGCGGGGAGCAGGGTTGGAAAAAAGAATTCTCGCTCTAGGAGTCCCCGGACAAGCAAAGAAAAACGACTCGATCGATCTCGACGGTCAGAGATCAAGAAACATCGGAATTCTCGGCGAAGCAGGCGGACGCGTAGCTTGCGCGGATCAAGTCCCGACCCCAGTATTCAGGCACGGAGCCGGGCTCCGACTGGAAACCTCGGTCAGCTCCGTGAGCGGCCGATTCCCAGCCCGACACCCGCCGGAAGCCACATATCTGGGTCTCGGGACCACGCCAAGCATGCTTCGTCTCCAAAAGGAATTCATTGCCATGCCGATGATAATGAGAAACTGGCGCTTACGACTGGAGGTAACGCAGAGAGCAGGAACCGGAAATCATCTATCACTGTTCAAGGTCCATGGGCTGTCACTGCAGTGGCAGCTTTGATCGTGCTCAATGCGCTGACTTGTTTGCATACGCTGAATATCATAAGGTAGGCAGGCTTTCAATCATCTGTCTCTTTTGCTCGTCCTCCTCGCTTTTGCTTGTCCTCCTGATCCTCCTCGAAGATACTTCGGGAATCCGAAGCATCAAGACTTTCGGACTTCCTGGTTCGGACTCATCCCTGTCGGTGCCTCCAAGTCTCTCTTGAGGGCTGGCTCGTCGATTCTCTCTAAACGACAGACGTTTCCGTTTCCCCCGATATCCGATGCAGCCATTGTGTCTCGCGCCTCGGACTCGGGCGAACGAGATCTTTCTGCGTCGGAATTCTATGGCAGAGTCGAATGTCCGAATTCCTCGCTGCCGTCGGTTTTCCTCATTTCTTCGCGCTCACTTGTCATCGTCTCTCGGAGAGCTGCTCTGATCGTTCGACCATCACATTCTCGGATCTCGATGTCTCCCAAATGACCGGGAACTTTGATCCCAGTATCGCGATCGTCGGATCCGAATTGAATTGATGGAGTCGAGCGAGAGGATTCTAGTAAAGCGGTTCAGGGAAAAGAAGCGGAAGCCAACGCGCTGAACCGAGTGTACTCTAAAACGCCTTACTTCGTTTCCTCAGCTGCCACGATCCACAGCGAGCTCTGGAACTCGCTTTGGATTAATTGAAAAACGTGAAGAATGTCCCGCTGGTAGCCGTTGACTGCAGGGAGCGACTCGCGAACTGGAGACGGAAAACCATGCTAAGAGAAACACGGACCATCATTCAGTGGCGCTCCTTTGATTGACTTCCCGCTCATGCACTCGACTGTGCGAACGTAGATGAATATCCCGTCATGGCGGTCTTCAATACAGCTCATGTCACTACGATGATGCCTTCCTACCTGCCTGACTCTGGCTTAGGAAGCGCGAGTCCTCACAGATGATATACCCGCCGTGTCCAGACACGATGTCCGCTCGGCCGCGTCATTCATGCCCCCACCGATTTGCAGGGAGCCATAGCTATCTGATGGATCTCTTTTTCCACGAAACTCATCGAGTTCCGAGTTTTTTCCATGAGTGGCCCACACAAGCCACGATTCTTTTCCCGCTCCCGACCATCCCCCCCTTCCCCCTCGGAGATGCAGCGGATCATTCGCCGAGGGTATGCTCCAGCATGTGCGCAGCCCCTTGGGTCAAGAGTATAGAAAGCGAAACTCCTATTCGAGCTCTGGTCGAAATTCCGTTTTTCAAGATAGATGTCCGAAGGGCTGACTCCATCGGCCGGCGCGGCGCTTCTTATGAATTCTGATTCCCTGCTATGGGATCTCAATCCCGTGGATGGAATTTGAACTGGTGTCAGCCAGTGATGTATTATGTCGGAAGAAACAACGATACGGGATTGATTTCTCTCTAGAGATCCCCGGGGGCGACGACGACGCTAAATCAGAGTTTTGCCCTGCGCGATCCAAAATTCTGGGGCGTGTTATGAGTCTCCCTCCTACAGATCGAGAGCGTCCTGGATCCTGGTCCTGTGCCGGGGAATAAACGGTGGCAACCTCCGCAATCGGAAACGAATAACGAGGTGAGAAGCAGCTGACATGAAACGCGGCCATCGACGGAAGAGGAAACAGCCCCCAAGCTCGTCCGAGTCCGCTCCGTCGACATCTACATCATGGCCAGAACTTGATACCGAGTCCTGCTTCTGGGACATCCTGGTCTCGGCCCAGACCGATTCTTCAGTAGCGGGATCACAATCAAGCGAAGAACTGCGAACGAGCGGTGAATGTCGCGGCCGCCCGGTGATCTTCTCAGACCCCTGCATTGGAAATGGTTCAGTGACGCCTCAGGAAAATCACCGTCGGCCCGGACCGTTGATAGGAGCTGGTGGCAACGCAGGTGATTGTGAACGTCATGATGATGCGGGTGACAAGGAGGACATTGGATCGATTGAATCACACCGACTTGGAAATTTTATGGACCAGTCGCAGGAAGAAGGGCCGAAAAGCAGCACAGCTTCACGAAATATCCCTAGTTTCGAGAGATCCGTGGCGATAGATTCCGAGTTGCTAGAACCAATCAAGCGCATCGTCGGGAAGAGAGTCAGAAGAGATTGGGGACCTTCCACCGAATCTGACGGTTCTGACGGCAGAATGCGTTTTCGGTCGGAGAAAAGGAGGAAATGGGATACCGGAAGGGAAGAGGGATCCGATCCTTTTCGTCATATCGGAAGTCGCTGCAGAAAACTCAGAAACCTCAAGGAAAATATCCAATTCCCAAAATTCAGAAATGACAGGGATCTTCAGATGGAGAATATCGATAACTATGTGAGAGCGCTCATAGACTCTTACGACAATGACAACATTCATTCCCAACACGGACCCGACGTAGACTCACGCAGAGAGGAATTCAAGAGAGGAAAAACACACGGATCGTCGACCTCAGAGCAGAGGAGCGCAGGATTGACTGAAAACTCGGACAAGGAGCATGAGGAGAGAACGACGAGAATAGAGAATGAAGCAGTAGAGAGCGATCGAAAGCGGGATATATCCGGAGCTGAGCAAGCGCAAGCGAGAAAAAAAGAAAAATCCGCGTGTAGAGACGAAGGGCGATGGACTCGGGGAAGCCTCGCTGCTCAAGAAAGGGCAGGATGGGACTCGCAGGGTGGCGCTGATGATGTCAGGAGCTCAGATGCCCATGAGGGGATCGGTCGAAGACTCGGGATGGGAAATGACGGAGAGAAGAGGTCCCTCCCCGCACACAGAGCCGCCCACGAGAACGAAACAGCCGAAGAATCTTGCTGTTCCGACGAGGACAGCGAGATTTCCGAAGACGGGGAACTTCGAGGAGAGGAATCAGCGGGGGATCGTGAAGGCAGGGGAGTACCGGGAGTCCGACGAAGAAAAAGCTACGGATCAAGCAACGATCCATGCAAGAGGGAAACCCTTAAAGAACGAGAGGGCGGGGCACAGGAGTCTGAAGAGGAATCAGAGGTCGAGATCGAGTCGGGAGGTGGCTCGGGAGAAGAAAAGGAAAGGGAGAGTCTTGAGTCAAGTGCTGACCGAGGTGGAAAGGCTCGAAGGATCGGTGGGTATGAGCACTCAGGGTCAATTGCAAAAAATGGAAGCGGTCCAGCGGAATCTGCGGGAGTTGGATCGGATCGTGGAGTAGGCCTCGAAATTGTCCAAATTTCCGGATCATCTTCCGAAACAGATCGTAAAGAAGTGATTCATACGTCAAAAGCCAGCGATGGGGGGAACTCGGAGGTGCACGGAGAGACCGATGGGCAGAGTCGATCGGACTGTCAACGAAACGAAGAGGAGACGTTGAGAAGGAAGGAGGTAGGAGAGAACGACGGCGATTCCGAGGATGCCGAGTCTTCGGCAAAGGGAATGGGAGAAACGAGCTTCTCGGGAGGATCGGAGTCGGAGCCGGAATCCACGGGACCGGCAGAGGAGGACAAAGAATCCACAGAGAGTGTAAGGAGGAGATCGATCATCATGACAGATGGAGAGCGACAATTCGATTCTTCAGGAGATGAAATAGAATATCGGGATCCCGAAGGACCTTGGCGAGCAGAATCAGAATCTGCGCAAAATGAAGAGGCGGGATCGAATGCCACTGTATATAGCGACAACTTTGCGACATCCGTACGAGACAAAATACAAGACCCGGAATCTGATCGCGGAGAGAGGGGATCGCGATTCAGAGAAGGTGGAGGGATGGAATCAGAATCCTCGCATGGGGAGCAATACCAGGTCGCGGAGGATCCGAGACTAGCGAAATATCCGGGAAAGGAATCGATATCCAAAACAGATAGAGAGATGGATTTAGAACCTGGTATGGCAGAGAATATCGAGCCCCGACACTCGAGAGACCGCAAGGAGAACATGGTATCCGGGAGAGATCGAAGTATTGACTCAGAGTCTATGCGAGACGGAAGCACGGAGCCGGATTCCATGAGAACGATGGAAAACGAGTCGGATTCTGAGGACGGAGGGAGATATAGGCAGGAGTATCCGGAATTGCGGGGAACTCAGCGGAGTGACTCGGTTTGCGCAAGGAATCGGATAGAGGATCCAAAAACCTCGAGAGTCGGGACAGTGGACTTCATATCGACGAGAGATGGAGCAAGGGATTCACCAAGACAGAGAAGAGAGTCTGGAGAAACGGGAGGTCAAGCTGCGGATCAGCGACCTTCGAGAGATCCAACGTGGAAATCGGTGTTTGTTGCGGAGCGGGAGGAAGAGCCGAATCCCATAGGAGAGGCCGACGACGATTCGAGCTCCACGGGAGAGAGTGATCGCCCGGAATCCATGGGGAATAAGGCATCTTCATCTGCGAGGGGTCGAACCGAGGATTTTGACTCTGCCAGAAATCGGAGGAAGGATCGGAGCGAGGAGTCGGGAACCGGGGCAGATGAGGGGATCGGATCAAAACCCTTTCTGGATATGCAGTCAACTTCGGAATTCGGGGAGGGAAGTCTAGGAGACTCGGAATCTGGTCAAGAGGAGGACTCGCAGTTCACGGGACGCATTGACCTAGAATCCTTGAATGAGCAGGGTACGAACTCGGAGGTCTTTGGGGATTCGGGAGAGGACGGAGGTGGACGGAGAAGTCAAGAGTTGGCCGAAAAACGGAGAGAGCCCGGTGAATCCTCGGGAGAGGATCTTGGACATACGAAAGATGAAGAGAAGGCGCTAGAATCCATGGAGGACTCCGATAGGACTGCGGAATTCGGAGGAGAGGGTAGTAGGGCTCCGGTTCACACGAGAGATCGGGAAGATGACGAAGAATTGAAGCTGGGATCTGTGAAAGATTCCGAGAGAGATCCGGAGTCCAGCCCAGAGAGGAGTGAGGCTTCGAAATCTGCGAGGGATCGAACAGAGGGCTTTGTTTCAGCCCAAGATGGGCCGATGGATCTGGTTCTCGCGAAGAGAGAGAACAATGAGTCGAAACCTTTGAATGATCGACGGAGGGACCCCAAATCCAAGAGCGACAGAGAGAAGGATCCAAAATCCCGGGTCGAACCGGAGGAGGTTTCAAAGTCGGGGGCAGGTCCGAAAAATGAATCGCTTCTCTCGAGCGATGAGAATGTTGCTGAGGATTCGGCTGTGGGAAAGCAGGGGAAATCTACTCTCACGAGGGGTCTGGAGAGGAATTCAAAATCTTCGAGAGGTGTGGAGGAGGATTCAGAATCTGCGGGAGGTCAGGAGAGGGATTCAGAATCTGCGAGAGGTCAGGAGAAGGATTTAGAATCTGCGGGAGGCCGAGAGAGGGATTCAAAATCTGTGCGAGGTCAGGAGAAGGATTCAGAATCTGCGAGAAATCGGTCTGAGGAATCAGAATCCGCCGTCGCTGGAAACATCGGACTGAAAACCGTGGATGAAATCTTGGGGGAATCGAAATCAAACGAGCGGATGGATTCTGAGTCTTCGGAATCAGCAGAAGATCAAGAAGTGGTTCCGGGAGCCCCGAGAAATTGTGAGAAGAGATTGAGATCCGAGGGAGATCGAAGAGACATACCTGAATCCTCTGAACACGAAGAGATGGAAGCGGGATCTGAAGGGAATCCAAAGAAGGACGAGAAAAGGAGGTTCAGGAGCGCGGGAAGTGGCGATTCAGAATCTACAAGAGACAGGGGGAAGGATTTGACATCCGCGAGATATCGAAGTGAGAAGTCTGAAACCGCAGGGAATGAAGCTTCCGAGCTGGACTCCGTGAGAGATTCCTGTAATATATCGGAATCTGTCGGAAATAATCGCACAGATCTGGCATCTACTGAACATGGTAAAGAGAATCCGACATCTGCGAAAGATGGGAGAATAGAGCATGAATCCGCGAGAGATCGACCCGGAGACTACGAATTTGCGAGAGATTGCAAGGTGGACTTGACATTTCCGAGAAATCGACACGAACACTCGTCACCTGTGAGGGATCAACAGGAATATTTGGAATCTTCGAAAGATCGACAGGAGTATCCAGAGTCTGCGAGGGGTCCACGAGAAGGCCCGGACTCCGCGAGCGACCGACAAGGGGACTCTGAATCCTCGAGAGATCGACTGCAAGACTCGCACTCCGCAAGGGATCGGAGGGAAGGCTCGCTTGCCAAGATAGATCTCGGAGAGGCTTCGGAGTCTGTGAGAGATCGACTAGGAAATTCAGAGTCCGCCAAGGATCATAAAGAGTATTCGCGATCCGCGAAAGACCGAGAGAAAGACTCACAGCCCGCGAGAAAGCGGAGGGAAGACTCGCAGTCCGCGCGAGATTGCAAGAAGGATCCGGAATCCGCGAGAGATCGATGGGAACATTCAGAATCCGCAAGAGATCGAGGGGAAGACTCGCAGTCCGAGAGAGATCCCGGGGAGGATTCGGAATCCGCAAGAGATCCAGCAGAAGACTCGTCATCCGAGCGAGATCGCAGGGAGATCCCGAAATCCGCGATACGCCGACAGAAAGACTTGCGATCCGCGGAAGACCGAGACGAGGACTCACAGTCTGCGCGAGATCGCGAGAAGCGCTCTGAATCCGCGAGAGATCAACAGAAAGATCCGGAATCCGCAAGTGACCGCGAAAAAGACTTCCTATTCGCGGAAGATCGAGAGGGAGACTCGCAATCCCAGAGAGATCGCGGGGAGGACTATGAATCCGCGACAGATCAACAGGAAGATTCGGAATCTGCGAGACATCGACAGAAAGATTCGGAATCCGCAAGTGACCGAGAGAAAGACTTTCTATCCGCGGAGGATCGAAAGGGAGACTCGCAATCCCAGAGAGATCGCGGGAAGGACTCGGAATCCGCAAGAGATCGAGCGGGAGACTCGTCATCCGAGAGAGATCGCGGGGCGGACTCGCCATCCGCGATAAGTCGAAGGCAAGACTCGCAGTCGGAGAGAGATCGCAGCGAGGTCTCGGAATCCACAAGATATCACCGGGATAATTTGGGCACCGCGAGAGATCGAGGGAAAGACTCGGAATCCGAGGGAGGTCGCGGGGAGGACTCAAAATTCGCGAGAGACCCACAGAGAGACTCGCTATCCGCGAGACACCCAAAGGAAGACCCGCGACATCGGAGAGGAGACTCGCAATCCGAGAGAGATCGCGGGGAGGACCCGGAATCCGCGAGAGATCGACAAGAAGACTCGCCATCCCCGAGAGACCGAAAAGGAGACTCGCAATCCGCGAGAAATCGAAGGGAAGATACACCACCCG